CCAGTGGTTTATATAGGTGAATATGAATATCATTACTTGCATCAATCTGCAACTTATTTTTGCCAAGTATGCATTATATTTTGATTTGTCAGTGTCCGTAATTTGTTTTTTTCATGCATTTCCAGAAAGGCTCCGAAGCGCGAGTCCAGAATTAGGAGAAGAGCTAAGGAAATACACGGATTATTCATTTGTATTCTCTTATCGATCATTTGTTCATTATTATAGTTATTCATTGAATGTTTGCGGAAACCGAGAGTTTGTTTGCTTATTTATCGAATAGTCTCCCAACATCGTAACCTATTTTATTCATGTCAGTTTTGTTATCATCTCCAAGTATGAATGAATGTAGTGAGCAAGTGAATAAATACTTGCAGGACTTATTCGGTATTTGGCAGATGATCCGCCCACGAGAGACCCCGCGTGGGTACCGACATACGCGAGTGAACTCTAGTCTACGCACGACTACGTATGGGGTATTTACATTCATCCGACAATTGAATGAACAAAAATAGTATGAACGTTGGAATGAAAGGTTACAATGAAAACGAAGTTCTTACGCTACCGAAGCTACGGCTTTACTTAAATTCTAATATTGTTTTCCAGGCCAGTTCCACACGCTTTTCGATGTTATTGCACTTATTATCGTATTCGCTAACAAAGAAACGTCGCCGTTCTAGAAACGTCGTACGCTTTCTAGGCGTTTGGTTAAACCATTTGGCACTGAACCTATTGTGCTAATACTCAACTTCTGAGCCTCGACGGTGCTTCGATGCACACTCGTAGATTCGTTTCCCACTAGATAATTGTTGAGTTGAATGCACATACTATTAGCCTTCAGTTCGATGTCGACCTAGTTAGAGATTCCTTAGCAATACTGCAACTATGGGGAAGCTTATCGAAGTATGGCTAGAAATCTGTCGCGACCGGTAGACCTAAAACCTGGAATTGGTGGCATTGGCTAAGACTAAAGCGTATTTGATTTGAATTCCCCGTTGAGTATTAGATTTATCACATTTACATCCAAGTAGTGACATGAGGACTGACTAGACGTTAAGGGCGGTTGCTCGAAATCGCAGCATATAAACAAACTTAAGTAAGCTACAACGTGAGAATGGCTTGCCATGAGTTGGTCGAAGTGAGGTAGGCGAACAAGTGGGAAAATATGACAAAATATTTCGGATATTAATAGTAGTGAGGAGATGGAAGAACACTAGGAGAGCTACATTTTTGCATGCGAGGTTACTGAAATTCGTCAAACAAAGCAGGTTTCAGTGCAATGTTAGTGACAAAAGGATGCATATAATTTCAGAAATTTTAGAAACCATATTTTTTCCGTAATTGTTCAAAATTTCTAGAAATTTGCCATTTTCAAATTCTTAGCCTACAAATTCGAAAGGATGCCGCGACGGCAATGTTAAGTGCGATGTCTTTTTTTTTTACATATGAAGATTCAACATTTGGTGGGATGGTTTGTCGAATCAAATACGGTTTTACGGATAATATATCATTATTGTTAATTCTTTGAGATTTCCTTATTTCATTAAACAAATTTGGGAGACCTTGAGCTGAACACGAATCACTTCAACCTGGATGAGGAAAAAGTTCCACAGAACATACGCATTTCGCTTTGTGGGACCTTGTTCCTGCAAGTGCTATTGCGGTCAACATGCTAGTAACTAAAAGGGTCTAAATTTCTGGTTGAATAATTGGTTATTCCAACGGTGACATAGTTTCATCCAGCTTTGCTAAACTTGCACCTGATTCTTAGATGCTAACCAATCTTAAAAAAACTAAAAATGTCAGACCATGTATAAAAATTTTGGAGCTTATGAAAGCCAGCCTCGGTACTTTCTATCAGTAAATAAGGAATGACAAATTGGCGAGTATGGAAGTTAATGCTGCAAAGAGTGAAAGACAAAGCTCGTGTCCAGCATACTCTGATAGTCCATGCAACTCGGAATGCAGTGGTTTTGGAACTCTCGCTTCACAGATTGAGTACCTATAGAATCTAACGACATTCACAAACTCAAGATGTGTGGAAGTTTCTAAGAACTAAAATAGTTATGACAACGAACAAGAGTTTACTACACACTTAAAATTAAAACAGAACAAATACTGCAACGGAGAGATCACCATTTATCTGTTTGCTTTTCACGCACTACGACAATCATTCCGATTATTTATGTGAAAGGAATTCCCAGATATTAATAGCATAACTGTAATGGCACATAAGAGAATGATGACCGGCCGCATTTGCGACTACTTCGTCAACCTTATGCATCACGGAATTTCACTCAACTTGGCACGCTAACGGCAAGCTCTGGAAGATTTCTTGGCCAAACACTTTCCTCAAACATGAATATGAAACGAGTAGATCATCGCATCAAAGGAATGTATCGATGAGCTGCTCGGGAACCATGGACTAAAATTATAATTTCTAATTATTTAGGGCACTCCACAATGAATAATGAACACTAGGATGATAGAGTTACGACCAGCCGAGTAAAGTGCGGAGCTGATGCAAACCTCTTAGAACTCGGTTTCTTTTTAGCGCATTTTCTCATTTACGGAAAAAATGCACTATTGTGCTCGCCATGTCCGTCTGTCTGTCTGTTCGTCCGTCTGTCCGTGACCTCAAGTTTTCGTCGACGAGAAAATGCGCTCTCTGTCACTCACTGCTGTGAATACTGAGTTACATTTTTTCAAGGTTAGTGTTGCCTCAGGCATGGATAAGCGTCTGGCCTACGCAACGTGTCAGCATCACGCGAACCTGTCGTGGCTGGAAGTGCGTAGGAAAAAAAGGCTCAGGAGGCCACACGAACACGTGCGGATTAAGCATATGGTCGATGCGCAGTGTAACTGCTGCGAAATAAAAATTCATAACTTTGAAGAACAAATGACATTTATGAATAATAAATAACATTTTGGTTTTTATGGCGAGGAATTATAGAAATCGTTTAGCTGCTGAATATACAGTTCATCCCAGTTACTAATGTCCAGACGCAAGTGTCGTCTGGACCTCTCGTATTGTCGTACTTATAGACAGCAACTCAACAAAAGTAAATGCAAATTTCACAAAGCACGTGTCTTTAGAAGAAAAAGAAGGCGCACAATGTCACTTTGGTGATTGGCAAGTAAAGGTAATGAAGGTATCACAGAAAGATAAATATGCCTCATTCTTGGCTAAACACGGATAACATTTACCTTATGTGTAGACATAATATTAATAATTTTTTAATATCATTTCAGTTATCTGAGCTCTTGCTACCTCCAAATACGGGAAGATACATTTTTATGTTTCTAGCTTATAAATTATATCGATTAATATCATATAACTAAATTGAGATGAACACGTACAAATCAAACCTCAATGCAGCATTTGTTTGATCACAAGCATCGTTCCGACGTCTGAATCGCGCCGACAGTTTCCGATCAATGCAATTTGAACTGATTTATAAAACATGTAAACTTTGTGCCAAAACGCGGCAGAAAACACTGAAACAATAGTGCAAGATCTCTCATCGACCCTGCCCGTTCAAATGTGCACTGCCAATGCAATACATCGATTGCACTAAAAAAAAGTGGATACAAAAAAATAGGTAAAAAACGGGTCGAATAAATACAATTGAGAACGGCGGCCGATCACCCAGATAATTTCTAATAATTGATGATAAAATCTGCAGAGTCTTAATTATTACAGCACAAACAATTCCAAATCAATCTTCAGTTGTTGGATGAACGCACGAGAAGGAAAAACAATAAGGAAGACTGTGATTCATTCACACAATAAATACAGCCGTACAGTTGAAATAGTGTTCCATATCCGACACAAGACACCATTTTCGTCCACTGACAAGATCAAAGTTTTGTTTCTGGACAGCTATTCCTCCAGCGCAATTTACTAATTTAACAAAAACTCACCACCTGCAGGAAAATAGATCCTGATAAGGAAAGTTCAACAAGAAAACAAATCTTTTAAATGAAGAAAAATGGATCGTGCATATGAATAACTTTTTCATTGTAACGCTTCATAAATAATGTGATACAGCAGCATTATTTATAATTAATAACTTACAATAAAATTCTCCATTTATCAACAATCAGATTAATTAAGAGGAAAACCCGAAAGAGGTCGCTCCTACTGAGGTGATTTCTAGCTTCCTACAATTAATCACTAGCAGTAAGTAGCATCACAAATGAGACATTGACATGGAAAGAACATAGAAACTTAAGAAATAGGCTAACATGTATTCGGCCATTCACCTGTATGCTAAAGTGCTTCGCATGTAAGGTCAGAAAAAGCAATAAAGGAGGAGTTTTGGCCAAAAGGGGAATTGGAAAAAACAGTTCATACTCTACGTTCTATTTTCTCACCGTTGACATTTTTGCACAAATCTCTTCAGATACGGTTTAAACGATTGCTTAAGAAGAGATGAATCGAGGTTTCCGATATTGTAAAAGTTCCAATATTCAACATTCAATTCAAACTCCCGATACGATGGGCGCTGGGAAAGACGGATATTAACAGCGGAAAATTTGCAAGCATTTAAAGAAGAGCAAAAGGGTTCGAGCTTCGAGACATGACGCTATCTAATCAACGAGCTTCATACGCAGTCAATATCAACACGGATATCTTCCAGAAATATTGCATAGGGAAATAACATTTAAGAAGTTAACAATGATTCCCGAATAGGGAAAATTTCTTCAAAGATGAGCAAATAGTTGGAAAATCACACCAAATATCGGAGCAGGAAAATTCGCAGAATAAAAAAATTTTATTCGCGTTCACAAGTGGTATTTCAAAAGTACGCGTCCGCCTGACAAACAAAATAAAATTGGAAACATGACGACGTGATACACGTCATGAAACAGAACGATTTTCAGACATATAAACAAAGCTCACACAAATAAAGACGTGTTCATCATAGCACTGATTCTTGGCGGTAGCAGCAACGCCTGAAGTTATAAAATAAAGCAAGAAACTTGAGTCAGGCGCTGACCTGAGACAGCAGCAGCGACGCCTCCGGGCTTAGGTGGGGCGGCAGGACGAGCTCCGTGTGGCTGGTCACGCCGCTCGGGTGCTGCCCCGCCACGCTCTGCGGTAACAAGCAACGACTGAAGCTTTCAGTGTGAAGATAAAGGGCAATTTTCGTTGATTTACAATAATTATTTACCATCAGAATACCAAGTTCATATTAACAGAATTAGTTCCAATTTTCGATTAGAATTTCGAACGAAGTTCAAATGTGCAGTAATTAACATAAAATCAAACGACTTCTTCTACAATCTATAATATATGATGATAAATACCATGCGTAAAATATGAAAAGATCTTGAAATGCTGATTAATAAGATACGTACGCAGCCTGTAAGCAGATGGTAAATAAGAGCACCGAAGCTCCACCAGTCACTGGCCGGCGACGGCACCGACAGCGGCGATGAGAGCTCGGGTGCCACGTAGCCCAGGCAGGCGTGGCACAACACGTGGTCACATGACCAAGCGCTGCTTTTACGGCAATGATAAGAGTCTTGCCGAGATGTTGCTTGATCATCATTACCACAACACTCCGAAGATTGCTGATTACTCGCATGCTCACCACTTAAGTGATAGATATTCGAGCCAGGAGATTGAGAAGCTTTGGTGGCATTGCAATCTATGCGCGCACGACTGCATGGGTTCCCATCTTCCTTTAGAGCTTCTTCTTGTTTGTGAGCAACTGTGAGGTTCATACAAGAACCTTCCATATTTTCATTCGTTTCTTCAGTACTTTTCTTAGATTCTGTGCTCGTGCAATCGATGAATTTCGTAACTTTGCTTACACGCGGCCCCCCGGAGGCCGGTTTTGTGCTGCAAGTGTTATTAGTAAGAACTTTTTCCATTGAATGAGTGGGATCTATTGCCGCACTGCCGCCTTCAATGCTTCTTAGCTCCGAATTCTTGATATTAGCTTCACAAGCTTGACTAAAAGCGTTGTCTCGACCAGAGCATGGCTGAGGTCTGCAAGTGGTCGACCTGCAGCGAACAGAGCAGTGGCCAGCCGCTGGTCTGCTCACCTCCACGCTAGACCAGCGGGTCTCCAGGGTTAAGATGACAGAGCCGCCGTCCTCGAGCAACACATTTCGAGGCCCAAAGTCCCTGCAAAAATACATAGGTACAGTAAATTACGCACTCAGTCTCCCTGAAAATTGGGAATATATTTGGTATTATTCACGGAAGGACGCGGAAACAGAAGATACCTGATTGATATATTTCTTGTCAGAGCCTATAGATTCACCAATAGTAGCAGGAGCACTTACTTTACTGGTGTTGATATTAACACAGGAGTCGCTGTTATTTAATCGAAATGATTGCAAACATGGGCCGAGCTTTGATTCAAGAGTTTACTTGTTACTATTCATTTAAAGTCAAATGAGCATGTCACACCACACCATTGCACTCACCCCCAAATGATGCCAACGTCATGGAGAGCAGAGATTGCAGTGACCATTTGAGCCCCCCAGACTTTGACCAGACCTTCAGGGAGATGCCTTTTGTCTTCTCCAGCAAGGCCAGGATCTCTCTGACCTGACTTTTGCTTGGCAGTTAGCCAGTACGTCTCCAATAAACCTGATAGAGGCGTCTGGTGGATGATCGAGAACTTTTTGGGGCTCTCCCTTTCGTTGAACTCCGATACGGTTGTTAACGAAGACTGCTGGTGAGGCAAGGACGCAGGGTGAACACATGCTCTGAGAGGGGATTTGATAAGATGTTCGTCGTCAGTGACGTCTGTAAGTTGCGTTTTGTGAGGATCCTCAGATCGCGGGCATATGTCGGAGCCAACACGATGGTTAACGAAAGATGTGCTTGTACTATCAATGAGAGAACCGTCAGCTAAAGAGTTCTCGCCTCGGGAGTCTATACACGTAGAATTTGCCGATCGGTCGGTTGCGTTTGACAAGTCGCTTCTGCGGTTATTGCTCATGGTTGACTCAGAGTCGCATGCTTGTGATCCATACTTCGCACCTGCAGATAAACGGGATTTGCAGGTGTGTAATGACATAGATTCCGTAATAGAAGTTGCAACAAAAGTTTCGTGGGCCACACATGCAGAAACTGGACTTGATACTGAAGATTCCTTTATCAGGCCATCATTACCACTAATACGGAGTTTGCACTGTAATTTTTCACCGTCAAGGGCAGAGATTCCTGCTTTACAAAGGTTCTTTCGGCCAAGTGAATTTGATTTATCACCTTTATCTTCATTTGTAAGCTCACCTACAGACATTATTTCTACTCTGTCTTTCTGTGGTAATAAATAAAGAGGTTCACTGAGGGCCTCTTCAGGTTTATTTTGCACTCTTGATTTTTCTAGATGAACGTTGCTAAGATTTCTGGCGCGGACGATCGTCTCCGAGCAGTGTTCGTCGCCATCATTCACAACAGGATCAGGATGACGGCAATACTCGAGTCCAGATGTCGACTCGCTACTCACGTCTTCACCATTGCTCCTCGATGGAGACAGTTTTTCATTTGAATTAAGACTGTGGGTTGATGACCCGTCACCGGCAAATTTATCACCAGGAGTTACGCCAGAAGAATCGCTATTGTTCAAGGTCAATCCTGACATGGAAGTGGAGTCATTAGAGGCAGAGGCTGACTCATCATTACCCTTCATCCCTCCGTAGGCCATCATGAATTCCACTAAAGCGGTCTTCTTGACTCCATTTTGCAAAGAACTGTGAGATGTATCACTCTTCTCAAAATTGGCTTGTCGTGACAAGATAGCCGCTTTAACTTTTAAATCTGCTACTTCTTCCGGCACTTTCTCGGCTGTAGCGCTGCAGTGAATCTGGGTGTGGATATCTGAAGGGTTGGTGGAGTCTTCTTTGGATGTCATGGACTCTCTTGGGACCAACAATGCAGCATTTTTGTCGTTTCTTCCTGAGTCCTTGGACGAGTGGCTCTCTTTGCATGACTGGTAAGCATCTGTCACGCTGGTATCATCTTGAGATATTGTATTTTTGGCAACCTGGCGAGGACTACGCATGGCTTTGTCCATGCTGCTCGCACTGTGGTCAATAGTTAGATTGGTAGGGTCCGGCGCCACTGCATGTCTGGATGTATCGAGTGCAATGGAAGGAATAGATGAGTAAGTGTTGTCCGCCATTTGCTTGCTGTGTGCCTGCCTTTCCGAAGAGACGTGACTACAGCGCGTGCTGTTGCTCGGCACGTCAGGCGTGTCAAAACCAACACTAACGCTGTCCAATGGCAGCTCAGATTGATCAATGGAGGTGCTCGAGTCCTCAGACGCCACTGGCTTGACACCTTTGCTTTTGCTTTGTTCCAAGGTCATGTCAACGTTCTGTAATAGTCGTCTGGAGTTACGGATTAGTTCTTCTATATCGAAGGAGGCAGCTTCTGAGCCTGAACGATCCCCCAATTGGCTTGTAGAGAATGAAGGAAGAGTTACGCTCGAAATAGAGGCTGGCTCACTAGGGCATCGCTCATCGTCAGGCTTCTTATCGTTCTTTTCAGCACTTAAATCATCACTATTCGATTTTTGCAACTTCTTACTGCATTTAAATGACAGGGAAGATGTTTCTGTCACAACATTTTCCCTCATACTACAACCACTAAGCGACGATGCATTGCTCTTTGAAACATCAGTTACATTTTGACCAGTTGAAACTAAAGTCTTGACTTTTGCATCACATAGTACAGCAACAGCAGGAGCAGCAGAAGCACTTCCTCCATTGGCGTTCAAAGTAACACTGAAGTTGCTGTTATTGAGCGTGGCTCTTGAAGGTTCTAAAGTGGTCTCCAGTGAAGTGATGTCAGCAGACGTACTCTGACATAGGCTCATCAGAGCACATTCAGAATGATGCATGAAAGCAAACGCCGAGTCTGGCGTATTGCAGGGGCGTTTTCTACCTTCACTGATGGCGCATTCGCTGAGCAAGTTACTGGTGGTGTTGGTGGTGCCTGTGGTCGTTGAAATAACACCTGTACTTTTCTTGCGGTCCTCTGATAGATGGTTGATTGACATGGAACAGCTAAAATCATCACTCACACCCGACAATGTGTCACTCCCAATGCTTACATTATCATCTTTTTCTACATTATTTACTGCACCTTCATGTTCGCCATCTATTTTACAGAATATTTTTGGAAGAAGAGGTACTACATTTACAGTAGATATTGTGCTGTGCTGAATATTTACATCTTCCAGCGCCGACATGCTGTGTAAGGTCAAGTCTTCAGCACTGACAGATTTTGAGACGAAATGAGCGGGGAAAAATTCAAGATCAGTACAGAGGTTGACTTCAGACAGTTCACGACCAGATATGGGCGATGTTTTACTGCTGCGCACACCAACTCCGCAACCGCGACATCCTTCAAGCCTTTCACTCTTGGGGCCAGAAACCTGGAATATTGGATCTTCTTGCAGAGTCCCAGTGCCTGTTGCAGTCTTCTCGCCCCAGTCTGGAGCGAGCGTCGAGGTGTTGGACGCGCAAGAACTCGAATCAATTGGTTGGTAGTGAGCCATTCCCGAACGCGCAACCAACAAGTCGCTATCGGCCGAAGTGAACTGAGACGATATAATCCTGCTTGTCTCATTCTCGTCTACGGTACTCATATCGTCACGAGTGTCATCTACTTGAGATGTATTCTCACAACCCATCCAAGTATCCCCAACTGATGGAGAATCTATTTTGTCTTTGACCGTATGGTGCTGCACCACATCAAGTGACTTCCCCTTTTGTTGCATGGGCGCTAAAGTCGACGCCTTGCGTTGCAACGTAATTTCATCAAGAGACAGCTTTTTCTTTTGATATTTATATTGCATAACATTCTGAGCTGCTAATCTCTCTTTGGTGGGGGGCAAATCAATATCATCTTTACGAAGCCCCAACTCACTTCTCCCGATTGAAGGAACCTCGTTTTTAACGTTTGCCGTCGAACTGGTAGTTTCTTCGTCAGTTGCCACAGCAACTATTTTTTCACTGGTCTTTACCTGAGTAATTATTGCAGGAGCTTCGAATAATTTTCCCACAGCTGCAGCTGCTTTCCCACAGCTGGATTTGACAGCTGCAGCCATGTTTATATTTGCATCTAAACAATTGTCGTCCATCAAGAAGCGTCGACCCGAATAAATATTGGTTCCTTCATCAAAATCTGCCGTCATATGAGCAGATTGCGGTGAGGAGCAACGGGTGCCGTTGGAGCGTCGGGTGTTGCTTGAAGATACATGACAGTCTTCACAAACGTATTTGCTGATGTGATCCCATAGCCGACCGCCACTGAAAAATGACGCACAACAACCAGAAAATAAGCGCCGTTTTCAGCCAATCATGAAGAGATTATTTCGAATCAAAATATTTCCAGCAATAGCAGTAGAATCAAGACACGAGGTTTTCTAACGCAATGGCAATGATGCCATCTGAAACCGAAAAATACATCACAGAATAGGTAGAAAACTTCGCTCACCGTTTCATCATTCCTGTTAATTTAAATTGGAAATACCCTTCGGAAAAAAATGAAGTAAGTTCTCAACGTCTCAATAAACACCAAGAGCCATGCAATAATAATTGACCGACCAGAAAATGCTCGTTCCTCCTCTCTCCAACGCAAGGGAATTTGGAGCCGGACCAAAGAGCAACTCTTTAGCCCATGCCCCCCCCCCAAAAAAAATAATAATAATAAGAGATAATACGTTTACACACTAGCATTTTGCACAGTACAAGGAATCACCTGATGTATTTCATGACAAGATAGATAGCAGAGTCCGTCTCATGATAGCACACCACCGGAACCATGTGCGGCACGCCGCGCGGGATCAGACTCTTGCCCTGCCGCCCGTTGCTGCTTTTCACTATTACCTGCAAATTGAAAAAAGCATAGAATTACGCAGATCTGTACCGCTACCTGTGGGATCACAGCAACTAAAAGGCAATACATGAAAATAAGAATTCCTACAAGTGATGTGGCAAAAAAGCTATGCTGTGCCAAGAAAGAAACAAGTTTTGATACATGGCCCAATAGGAAACACAACCATTTTTTCATTGAATAAAATTAAATCATTGAAAAGAAAATATTGAGCATAAAAAATCTTTTATTCTTGTTATTTTACAATTCTATAAGCGCTTTAATATTGAGCATAAAAAAATATTTTCTTCTTATTATTTTAGAATTATTTTTAGCACTTTAAGAAATGTTTATACCATTCATAAATTTGAAAACATCGACAAGCTGAATAACAAACCTCAGAAATAAGTGAACATGCTACAAAAATTCGATATATTCTCGACTGAATAGCATCAAGATTCTTTCTTATAATGTTGGAGGTTTGAACAGAGGCAAGATAGTAGGTGAATGAGAGATGGAGCAACATTCAAAATAAAGAGATTACAAATTTCGTGATTACCATCCCAAAGATGATATTTTGGAAGATTGTTGCTACGAGTGCTGAAAATCACACTTAAAATATTTTCCAAAGAATTATAACATCATAGTCCATGAAAGCCGCAACTCAACTAATACAAGAACTTCCATGAGAGTTTATGCATCAGTCGTTGGTATTGTCCATGATGGCCTTTACTGATTTATTATCATTAATGTTTTTCATTGTAATAATTATTAGTTGTCCTACATGGCCTATACAAAATGCATACCTTAAAGTTGGTCATTTGCATTAGCCATGATGGGAATGATTTACATAATTGATTATTAGAAACTCTGCTGCATTAGTTTGCAACTTATATTCATGAATATAAGTAGCTGTTATCGCTTATTCGCAGCATTATCGCTCACCTTGATAGCGACCGTGTGTTTGGACTGAGGCAGCTGTGCTACAATGACCCCGTTGTGCTGCAGAGAGCCAGAGCTGACACCAGCAGGGCAGCTCGACGTGCCCGCCATACCCAGCACGCGGTACTGCAGCAGCAGGTCGGTGTCGCACTGCAGGCCGCAGATGCCCAGGCCACTCATGCACTCCTGACAAACACTTGTATTTGTCAATAAAGAGTTCATCATTGTGGTAAGTACTACCTATAGAATGTTGATCATATAACAATCTTAAGGTTGATATCTGTGCTCTTGAAGCATGATGATTGGTATTTCAGATCTATTGTTGGGAGGAAAAAACTATAGATATTGCAAAGTCTTGCATCCATCTAGTGACGACTGAAAGTGGTAATATAATGAAACAATATATTATGCAAATAATGGAGTCTGATACAATGTTAGTTGAAGAAATACTTCCTAATGGGTACATGAATGACAGAATTTTGTAACAAAAATATAAATTTCATACTACACTTTAAATGTAACTAATGTAGATCATATTAGTTATCAAAGATCGACACAAAACTGCCCTTGCTTGTCATTATGTAAACCAAGCAAGGAAACCATACCTTGTCTGGCAAAAGTGGCTGGTTGGTGAGAGCGCTGGTTATGTTACTTGCTTGTCGGGTCAATCTGAAGAGTAGCTGCTCTGCTCGCTGCAGATACTGAGCTGTCTTACGCCTCACTCCCTCGCGCCGCGCAACATTGGCTTCATCTTCACCTGAGAAACATGAAACTATTAAGCAACAGTCAAAATAGTCTTGATGATGGCTTAACAGGAATACAAAATTATCATGTATTAGCAACTATGTAAATGACAAGTGTCATTAGTGTGGGTCGGTAATTAGTGATGCAACACTTAACTTTAACCATTCACACAAAGAAAACACTGTTTAATTGTTCAGCATTTCCAACTGCTATTGCAAACCAATGTTTGTGACTGAGTGGTAAGTGAATATGAGCAATACATTATTTCACTACAACAGTCTCTAATCACTTCCATATTGGCCAGCTTTAAAATTTCAGGAGCCATAGACTTTTGGCTCTAGAAGAAAGCATGTGCTATTTTGTGACAGAGGTTAGGTTCCTAGGTATGGGGACCATCATTGGCTGTTCAGTTGGCCACCTGAACACTTGGTGGTCTCAGTCAGTCTCTGTTTCCAGTATTGATGTCCACTAAAGGTTTCCATGGCTTGGTTTGGTGGTTCACATGTTAGTAATTGCTTTCAAGAGACTCAAATATCGCTTGAGGTTTTCCATCCAGATGTCTTGGGAAATCTCATTATAGATTCCAGCATGTATTTTGTCTAGGCCTAGTAGGAAGGTACTTGAGGAGTTCATTTGGTAGCCGCTGTAATTAGGTTGCACTCCAGTATAACGCGCAGTACTGATAAGAGGAATACATTTCAGAAGGTAGAGAGACATATTCTTTTAAATATCTATGGATGAGTATGTGTGGCAAATTCTCAGCAGCTTTGCAAACAAAAATCTACCTCCACAAGTCGCCAGTGCAAGAGCTTGAAAAAAACTGCCTTTTATTGCTCTTAACTTAATTACTTCAACACTTCATCATTGTTCTTGACATAAGTCATGAATTTGTTACCTCAATGAGAGTAGAAATCTTGACTTGGAATTAATTCAATGAAGATCGTCATTTTAGACATTGCTGCACAAGCTGCTGCTTTGTCTGTCTGGTCATTTTTATGCACCCCATAGTGACCCAGTGAACATGTACCACACCCAACCCTTCCTGCTGCCACCTTCTCAGTCAGCCTAGCCAAGATTTTTGTGTTTTGTGATTTACAAGATGCTTGCTTTTTTGTACAAGTACTTTCAGGGCCTTAATTACATTTTCTACGTTGATAAACAAGGTACCTACAGTGCTTCTCAAGCGGTCAGTTTCTGAGGTCAAGGGGATAGCAGTCCCATGAGCTACACAGTAAAAATTGACCATTTGGGGGTTGAGTCTTCTTAAAACAACTGCATCATCTCCCAGCACCATCTGAGTTTCAGCCATTATTTTAGATTTGCATATACATATTCTACTCAGGCTGTAACAGTTTGATTTAGGAACATTTTTTGGGCATCACCATGTGACTTGTGTTCATTTGTGGGTGGTTATGGTTTGCAAAAGAAGACCGGTGGAAAGTAATAGGTGGCACTTTACACCCATTGAATCTAGCATGGGAATAGGTATGTCTGATTAGAAATCAGTCCTAACACTCAATCATGTTTAAGGCCAAGATAGTTGTTTAATGTTTATTGAAGAAGGAGTGAGCAGTGGTCTTCATTGGTATAGAGGTGGCTTATTGCTCTCTTCATGTAAGTTAATGATGGGTGAGTTTCGGAAAGTTTTGGTGGATTGCTGTAAAACTGTTTAAGGGTTGAGTTAGTCCATAAATAATTTTATGGTTTTCTGATGTATTGGTATATGATGCATTCAGAGTACCTATATCTTGTTTCTAACTGTAGCTCTGTAGGGGGGAAGTAGGGTTAGTTGGTTGGCTCATGTCAACCTGAATAGCTATATTGTAGTCATCTCAAGGACTTTAGGTTTGGGCATGGATTTCCCTACATGAATAGTTTAGGAGGCTGTTCTACTAAGAGCATGTGTCAAAAGTGCATGGCCAATGTTTCTTTGCCAGGCAAGAAGAATCAGCGTTATGGTAATCTGGTCAAGATGATTCATGAATAGCATTTTAGGGATGATGGTAAGTAGGAAGCAGGATTATTTGTAGAATATGAAATAATCTCACAAAATCTTGTGAGCTGACAATCTATATTTTGTCTTTTTTTGTTTTGGTTTAATTGGTTCTCTGTTTTTGTACTCTATTTAATTTTTTTTGGCACACCAAACTAAGTTAATCTTCAGATGTTATGTGCCTGTGCACTAAGAATACTTTAAGGCCAGTCACATAGGTACAATAAAAGTTCAAGACCTCAACCTACAAATGCTGCAGAGCAACAAACCAGCTGGGCACAAGGTAAACTTAAAATAAAAATGTTTTGAGCAAAAATGTACAAAATCTAAGTCACACAATTAGATCTTTAAGAAATAATTTATTTATGATTATTTGAAATCTTTACAAGGAAAGTTCAACATTTCACTTCACATTAACTAACAGAACTTAGTTTTGAAGTAGATATACAATGGGAAAATAAAAATCCTCAACTAGAATGTTGATACCTTTGTAGGAGCAGTTGGAATTGGAAGCATATCCTTGAGTGGTGACAGGTTGAACAGTTCCAGGAGCTTGAAAAGCAAGTTAGAAATGTTAGAGAAAAATGGTAGCAACCAGAGTTAGCCAGAGTATTAGTAAGATGGAGAAAAATTCATCCAGGAAATTATTGCATTAATTTTTTTATTAGAATGACAAAGTTCATTAGAAAACACCAGATAAGACTCAATATGGAAAAAGTCTAATGGTCAATAATCAGAATATTAACATTGACATCCAAATTATCATATGAAGGCTAATAACTAACAGGCAATAACTAGGTAATCATGCAGTTCAAAGAAAATTTCAGACAAAATCAATATATTTTAATTGAAAATGTTTCACAGACTAGTTCTATTAGATGAAGGAGCAAGTTTCAAAAGCATTTTCAATAAAAATGTTGTGAATTTGATTGGCAATTTGTTTTTATATTCTCAGTTAGTAAATTATGCAAACAAACAAGATAAATACTTCCATACAATGTAATCATTGCCAAGAAATCAATTAGACTCTGTCCAAACACTGAACCAGTTTGCAATAACTACTATGGTTAGGCACTTGTAAAGATTGGAAAAACATGTAACTTTTACCATTTAATTCTAGATTTTCCAAACTATCCATTTCTGATTACATAGAAATCATTTTGACCAATTAAACTCCATTGATGTGAATGAAAGTGTCCTAATCATAGTTTCTCAAACATTCAACATGAATTAGTCATTTGCTTAGCAGAAAAGCTCTTAAAATCACACAGTGAGTTAGGAAAAAATTAATTACAGTAACAGCAAGAATTCATGAAATACTGAGTGTAAGGTCAGTAAAAACTGGAAATGATCAAGCAGGGGATAAGTTTTTTTAATATATCAACTCTGTCTTAAGCTTACCTTGAACTCCCTGCAATAGAGTGCCAACTCCTTCTCTGTACTTGATGACAGCTTCAGCAAGTTCATTCCTTTTCTCATGCTCTTGAGCTTCACTAATTTGATGAGCTGCCATAAAAATGTACTGTGATGGACCAGCTGCTTTTTCAATTGATTTTTTGCTTTTGGCTTTTCTAATGGCCATATTTTCAGGAGTAATAGAATTTGTAATGGGGGTAATTGGTGACAAAGGTGGTGAGGATATGACAGGAGCTATTGGTGAGAGTGGTGATGTCAATTGAGAGGAAGAAGACAAATCAGTGCAGCTATAAGGAAGGGGTTGGAGAGGAGTAGGAGTAAGAGTACTAGACATGTTGGATGACAACTGGGAAATGGACTGATCTAAAAAAGTGTTACCAGCAGAAAAAGATTCAAAAGTAGACTGGTTAGAATGAAGTAACTTCCAAGGATATTTTGGGGCAGTACTGCTGGTCGTTTGTGAAGTTTGCTCTGCAATGGATTGAGAATCCAGCTTGTGATACTGATTTCTGATGGGCATAGAAAGTTTGGGCAGATCTGCCAATGAATTTTTTGAGTTCATGGAGACTCCATGTAGAGATTTAGATGCTGGATTTTCAGAGGTTGATTCTGATGAGTTCAAAGAAACTGTGTAGCTGCTAAGAGACTTATTCAGAGATGTTGCAGAATCTGAGCAAAAGCTATGTTCAGGTGATCCATGTTCCTTAGAAATGCTGGAATGATGGGCTTTTAAAGTTGATGACGTAGATGTGCCTGACTGGTCATTACTTACTGAAGGCCTTGCACACTGGCAAATTTTACCATCTTTTTGAAGGCATGAACAATATTGTAGTTCCAGTTGAGGAGTTTCAACTAGAATTTTTTTTCTCATCTCATCAACTGTCAAGATATTTTTCTTTTCCAATTTTTCTCTAGATGAAGCCATAATTGTATGAAGGTGTTCAATGAAATGCTCTTAGTTGCATTTATAAATATAGATAAATAAAAACACAAGATCCATCTCCATTATATATCACAGAATTTTCTGAATGAAGATGGAATTGTAACTTGTTCACCAGAACCTAGAAGATGAAACAATAAAATTATTAGTAATCAACAACTATCAAATGACCCATTTCAGCCAAATTACCCTGAACAGCAATTCTGCTAAAACCAATGTTTACGCAGACAAATTCCTGCATGTGACTGATTTTTCAAGTTTGTTAGAATTTACTGGGTTGAAAATAGTTCTTCTTCTTACCCTACATAATGAAGTCAACAAAATGCACCAAGAAGCACTGAATAAATTATTAATCCATAAATGATGCTACACTAAGTGTATAATTGATAACAGAGAGTCCTACAAAGCTGCACAAAAATACATGGAATGACTTAGTTGCAAATATGATAACAAATTTGGAAAGAAAATCAATGTGTTCCATAGCTAAAATTTGAAATTAAGTGATCTGCAAGGTAAAAACTTGGCATAAACCTAAGTAATTTTTTTATATTATCTGTAATTTGGGGTCTCATAAATAAACCTAAACAGCACCTGAGAATATTGGACAAAAATATTTCAATCAGGAGTAAATTGTCAGGGGGATAATTTTATATTTGGTATGAAAAATCTGTAAACATATTATTCAAGGTTTCAAATAATTTTTGAAGCTTTTTTTTTTAATATAATTAGCAGCTGGCATATATATACAATGCATTAAGATGACAGGAATAGTACTGATACTCATGGAGAAAATAAAAAATGGAAGGATTTATCAAGAAGTATGTAGAAGAGTCTGTTTGGTTAAAAATGTGATTGATACCATGTTGGATTAATTAGATTGACCTCATGATTTCCTACACTAGGCAAAATACAGGATTTTAGCCAGGGTACAAGCAGCATTGCCAATATATGGATTTATAGCCCAAAGCATTGAAAGCCATTTTCAAGATTTGTCACCAGGTTATTTTAGTAAGAAAATGCTGTTAACAACTTTGATAGTATATCCCTTACTCTCCACACACCGCAACACTTATTACTCAACAGCTATCTGGCAGCCAGATGCGTCACACCATCTATTGAGATAGCGGCAAAGTAGAGCGAGGCTTGACACAATTCTGCCACCCAGACCGCCATGAGATGGTGCTTTGCTAATATCAACAAAGCTATCATGAACCCTATGTCCTAGCAACCATTGCTTAGTTCTAGAATTATTGTCGTTTTCATTACTCACTGCATCCGCCACTTGTGGTCTTTCAGATTTTCAACTATTTTCTGAATAGTTGGCCGAAGACTGGCAAATATCTAGAATGCAATAATTTCAATCCTAATGTGTCAGCAGGAACTTCTGAAGGTGTAAATTTTGCTGCTGATGTGTTGCCAAAGATCTTGCGACATTCACCCACCTTCTGCACAGTGAGATTTTAGAACATATTCCTTGCAAAAATTTGTCAGTTACAGATAAACAACTAGTGAATGTAATCGCCAACCCAGTATTGGATTCCAAACCACGGTCCACACGCGATATAAAATCCACAGCAGTTTCTGTTTTGCACAGTGTATCAATTGTTGCTGTGGTATAAGGTGTAACATGGTGGGCTTTTTGATCCATATTCTTATATGAATGGGAGAATACATTACCTATCAAGAATTCCCCACTCACACACTGCAAAGCAGAGACTTTATTTAGATTTAAGATTGATAGTCAAGTCCTAAAGTGAACCAGTAAAGAATTTATGTCACTTGTTTGCTTAAATCTCAGATTAATTAAGAATTTAAAAGCAAAGAATAGTCCACAAAAATTCATATCTTTATAGAAAATGTTTGGACTGACAATGGAGACCAGCTCCATCATCAGTTCATAGAATCTAGAATCACAAATTAGAAGTCACAAATTAATACATTGAAAGCACAGAACGAAATTAAAAACCTAAATTTACAAATAATAGACAGAGTACAAAAAAAAAACAATCTATTCACAATTTCAAAGGGATAGGAGCTAACAGTTGAATTCAAACTGGGCCTAAGTTTAAAGATGTAGAATGATTCTAAAATGCGCAAATCTGAAGTAATGGAGGGGTGAAAGCTAACACCCTAAAGTCACTATCAGAAACGGGGACATCACACTGCTCAGAGTGAGCGTGCGCAGCCGAATGAGGGGGCATGATAGCAACTCTGGTTCTACAGTTCCTGCCCTTATGCTCAGCAACCCTGCAATAAAGATTGCGTGACATCCTGACGTACACAGATGAACATTGCGCACAACAGTATTGATAAACCAAGGATGATTGGATATGAACAGGGAGCATATCTTTATATCTAAAGAAAGAACTGATTGTGAAAGTGTTTACCAGCACAATATGAATATTGACATTTGGGAAGTATCTATTGAACAAGACTTTTAATTCTCTTGACATAGCTTTGGTCGCAGGCCCGAAGTATGGAAAAGAACAATAAATAACTTTCCCACCATTGCCTTCCTTGATTGCAATATTACCAAATCTAATGGCCATTTTCTGACGTCTGTGTTGCAAAAAATACAACTTTCACCAGTATAGGTGCAAGTTTCTTTTGTTTTTGTTCATCCCGATTCAAGTTGAATGGGCTTCAAACATCATTACACGGAGGTTTTTGCATTTGTTTTACATACCATGCTATGCATGCTGAATTTGAATTTTTAAGCAATATTTGGTATTACTTTAGATTAAGTGCATCCAAAAAAAGGGTGTTTTTTTAATTATATGTTTATTGGGGTGTAGATTAATAATCTGAAATCTTGGAAAAACCTAGCCAATCAACGAAAACCTCGCAGGTTAGGTCCAGTTAGGAACAGGTTCCATTAAAAATTTCCGATGCCGACCGTCAAAAACGGATTTCAGATTCTTAATGTACACCCCAAAAAACATATAATTAAAAAAAAACTTTTTTTGGATGCACTTAATCTAAAGTATTATCAATATTTTATCGCTCAATAGATTTCCGGGAAGTTTGGTGTTGACCCAAATCAAGAATTTCATGTAGAAGCAATACAGTGAGGGTGCTCATTAGCAAAATAGTGGGAAAGTTATTTATTGTTCTTTTCAATACTTTGGCCTTGTGTCCAAAGCTATGTCAAGAGAATTAAAAGTCTTGTTCAATAGATACCGTACTTCCCAAACGTCAATCTTCATATTGTGCTAGTAAACAATTTCATAATCAGATCTTCCTTTGGATATTAAGATATGCTCCTAACTTCCCTGTTCATATACAATCATCCCTGGTTTATCAATATTATTTTGCACGATGTGCATCTGCATACATCGAGATAACGTCACGCAATCTTTATTCCAAGGTCACTGAGGCTGAGCTGCCTGAGCATAAGGGCAGCATGAGTTGTAGAACCAGACAGTTGCTATCATGCCCCTCTTATTGGGCTGTGCGCACTCACACCAAGCAGTGTCTGTTCCTGTTTCTGACAGTGACTTTAAGGTGTTAGATTCCACCTCAGGTACTTCAGATTTGCGCATTTTAGAACCAATGTACGTCTTTAAACTTAGGCCTAGTTTGAATTCAACTCTTGCAATATTATCCCCTTGAAATTGTGAATAGATAGTTTTTTTAGTTTTTTTGTGCTCTGTTGGTATTATTTGCAAATTTAGGTCAATAATTTTGTTTCTAGATTCTACAAACTGACAATGGAGCTGGTCTCCAAAAGGTTTTCTACAAAGATATGAATTTCTGTGGACTATTATTTGTTTTTATATTCTTGGACCAATAAAGTATCTTCTATCACAGATACTACGGTACTCTCAGTAGTAAGTACTCTGTCTTACTCCTTCTAGCACTAGCATTATCAGTACATAAGAAATTGGTTTAGATGCTGTTATCTTGATTCTTAAGTAGATGAGGCAATTAGGCTAAAAATAAATCGATAGTAAAAAATCTGTGGTTTGTTCCTATGTTACCAAAACAAACCATAATAATTTAGAATGAATTCAAATTAGGCTAAACGCGGTATATTCCGACATTGTTGGTAATTCTGACACTTCTCAAATTTTTCCTTTATATTAAGCTTTGTCTTGGTTCCACGCATTCATTGATGGTTGAAATAGTGACGTCATACTATTGCGCACCATAATATTGCCAAAACACTAGGTCTGGGCATGGTTGGTTAAAAATGTAATTGACACCATGTTGGATTAATTAGATTGACCTCATGATTTCCTACATTAGACAAAATACAGGATTTTAGCCAGGGTGCAGAGGGTGCAAGCAGAGTGGCCAATATATGGATTTATAGCCCAAAGCGTTGACAGCCATTTTCAAGATTTGTTGCTGGGTTATTTTAATAAAAAATGCTGCTAACAACTTTGATAGTATATCCCTTACTCTCCACACACTGCAACACTTATAACTCAACAGCTATCTGGCAGCGAGATGTGTGGCACCATCTATTGAGAGAGCAGCAAAGTAGAGTGAGGCTCGACATGATTCTGCCACCTGGACTGCCAGGAGATGGCGCTGTGCTCATTTCAACAAAGCTATCATGAAACCTACGTCCTAGCAACCGTTGCTTAGTTCTAGAATTATTATTGTTCTCGTTATTCACTGCATCCACCGCTTGTGGTCTTTCAGATTTTCAACTACTTTCTAAATAGTTGGCCGAAGACAAATACCGTCAAATGGGGTAAAAAGGGATGGGTGGGGTAAATCGGGACGCGCGTCATACATTTTGTAGAAATGTTGTAGCAGCTAAACTAATCAAAATATTGCCAAACTAAAAATAGTGGCATAAACTTCAACATTTTTACTACCAGGTATCTGTTACGTATGTATAAAGCTAGTCAAGAAATCAAACATTTACTATCTCTAAAAAATTGCTGGAAAAAAGTGTGAAAAGTGCAATTTTGAAAAAACCTCTGCTAAGGTCTGGAGCAAAAAAATATTCACCACATGAAAAAATTTTACTTACATAAAAGTTGCACCCAGGTGTCAGCTTGAAAACGTAATTGACGAAATTTGCCTATCTCATTCCTAAAAAATGGCAGCCATTTCCGCATGGCGGGGCTACTCGGGACACCCCCCCCTTGGGGTAATTATGGACACCCTTAAAAATGCATTTACAGTAGACGGAGGAACGATCTGAAATATGGTAATATAATATCAATAAAGGAAAAACAAGTAAAAATCGCAGAAAATGTCATTTATTTTACATCTACATCATCTACAATGAAAGAGGAGGACTTCAAAGTACTGTTAGTAAGGGATGAGTACTACACTCTGCATGCTTCAAATGTTTTAAAATCAACTTTTATTGCAAGTGTCCCGGATTATCCCGTTCCCAGGAGTAAATCGGGACGGTTTTATTTTGAGTCTGGCACCTTACGAATATCATATGGAATTTTTTTGAAGATGCCATTGGATAGCCCTCGCAAAGAGCTATAAAATGAGCCTAAACTTGTTTCTGAAATGTTTCATAGTAAGAAGTTGTTAACAAAAAACGCTCAAAACCGTCCTTTTTTACCCCGTTTGACAGTATCTAGAATGCAATAATTTCAATCCAAATGTGTCAGCAAGAATTTATGAAGGTGTCAATTTTGCTGCTGATGCGTTGCCAAAGATATTGCGATATTCCCCCACCTTCTGCACAGTGAATGTAATAGCCAACCCAGTATTGGATTCCAAACTATGGTCCACAAGCAATATAGGATCCACAGCAGTTTCTGTTTTGCTCAGTGTATCAATTGTTGCTGTGGTGTAAGGTGTAACAAGGTAGGCTTTTCGATCCATTTTCTTATATGAATGTGAGAATATATTACCTATCCAGAATTTCCCACTCACACACTGCAAAGCAGAGACTTTATTTAGATTTAAGACTCTTCCTCAAGTCCTAGAGTAGACATGTAAAGAATTTATGTTGCTTGTTTGCTTAAATTGCAAATTAACTAAGAATTTAAAAGCAAAGAAAAGTCCACAAAAATTCATAACTTTATAGAAAAAGTTTGGATTGATGATGGAGACCAGCTCCATCATCAGTTCATAGAATCTAGAATCATAAATTAGATGTCACAAATTAATACATTGAAAGCACAGAACAAAAGGAAAGACCTAAATTTACAAATAATAGATGGAGCCCAAAAAACCATCTATTCACAATTTCAATGGGATAGGAGCTAACAGTTGAATTCAAACTGGGCCTAAGTTTAAAGATTTACACTGATTCTAAAATGCGCAAATCTGAAGTACGGGCGGTGGAAGCTAACACCCTAAAGTCACTGTCAGAAACAGGGACATCACACTGCTCGGAGTGAGTGTGCGCAGCCAAATGAGGGGGCGTGATAGCAACTGTCTGGTTATACAGCTCCTGCCCTTATGCTCAGCAACCCTGTAATAAAGATTGCGTGACATCCTGACGTACGCAAATGAACATTGCACACAACAATATTGATAAACCAGGGATGATTGCATATGAACAGTGAGCATATCTTTATATCTAAAGAAAGAACTGATCGTGAAAGTGTTTACCAGCACAATATGAATATTGACATTTGGGAAGTATCTATTGAACAAGACTTTTAATTCTTTTGACATAGCTTTGGTCGCAGGGCCGAAGTATGGAAAAGACCAATAAATAACTTTCCCACTATTGCCTTCATTGATTGCAATATTACCAAATCTAATAACGGCCATTTTCTGAATTCTGTGTAGCAAAAAACCAACTTTCACCAGCCTAGGTACAAGTTCATTTCGTTTTTGTTTATCCCGATTCAAGTTGAATGGGCTTCAAACATCATTACACAGGGGTTTTTGCATTTGTTCTACATACCATGCTATGCATGCTGAATTTGAATTTTTAAGCAATATTTTATTGCTTAATAGATTTCCGGCAAGTTTGGTGTTGACCCAAATCAAGAAATTCATGTAGAAGCAATAAAGTGAGGTTGCTCCTGAGCACAATAGTGTTTAAGTTATTTATTGTTCTTTTCAATATTTTGGCCTTTTGTCCAAAGCTATGTCTAGAGAATTAACAGTCTTGTTCAATAGATACTTCCCGAATGTCAATCTTCATATTATGCTAGTAAACAATTTCATAATTGGATCTTTCTTTGGATATTAAGATATGCTCCCAGCCTCCCTGTTCATATACTATCGTCCCTGGTTTATCAATATTATTTTGCACAATGTGCATCTACGTACATCGAGATAACATCACGCAACCTTTATTTCAAGGTCACTGAGGCTGAGCTGCCTGAGCATAAGGGCAACAGGAGTTCTAGAACCAGACAGTTGCAATCGTGCCCTCCTAATTTGGCTGTGCACACTCACACCAAGCAGTGTCTGTTCCTGTTTCTGACAGTGACTTTAGGGTGTTAGCTTCCACCTCAGGTACTTCAGATTTGCGCATTTTAGAACCAATGTACGTCTTTAAACTTAGGCCTAGTTTGAATTCAACTCTTGCAATATTATCCCCTTGAAATTGTGAATAGATAGTTTTTTTAGTTTTTTTGTGCTCTGTTGGTATTATTTGCAAATTTAGGTCAATAATTTTGTTTCTAGATTCTACAAACTGACAAGTGAGCTGGTCTCCAAAAGGTTTTCTACAAAGATATGAATTTCTGTGGACTATTATTTGTTTTTATATTCTTGGACCAATAAAGTATCTTCTATCACAGATACTACTCTCAGTAGTAAGTACTCTGTCTTACTCCTTCTAGCACTAGCATTATCAGTACATAAGAAATTGGTTTAGATGTTGTTATCTTGATTCTTGAGTAGATGAGGCAATTGGGCTAAAAATAAACTGATAGTAAAAAATCTGTGGTTTGTTCCTATGTTACCAAAACAAACCATAATAATTTAGAATGAATTCAAATTAGGCTAAACGCGGTATATTCCGACATTGTTGGTAATTCTGACACTTCTCAAATTTTTCCTTTATATTAAGCTTTGTCTTGGTTCCACGNATTTAAACCTTCAATAGGCAAAATTTGCAAAAATTCATAGAAATAAATATATTGTATAATGCTTCTTACTTTCTTGAAATGGTTTCTGAAATTTTAATTTCTGGATATTTCAATGCTTGCCCGCTAAAGGGTTACCTTCAGTTAAGTGTTGCACAAGAGGAGCTTCTTCAACGGTTCAACCTAGGTACAGTCATTAATGGTGGTCAGATCTATGTACTTATGTAGTTATTGAACCCCATGAATCTTAGATAGCTAATCTACAATTTATAGTTTATACTACATAAATTTTTAGGGTTCAGTATTTAATCAGTAACATCCACAGACCACAAACACAATTACCACATCAACTTCCTTAACATCTTAAACTAGTATAACACTAAAATTTTCAATTAGAATAACATTTTCAATAGTAACTATTACTAACTAATAACCATCAAGTATTGAGCCCTATTTTTATCAATGACTAGTGAAGGTCTAATTTAAATTTGTCAAATGCTGGGCGTGATATAGCCTCATGCCCCTCATGATATTGATATGCAAAATACCAATTCATTTTCCAAGTCTTCTGAAGTTCTGACATTAGAAGCTAGAAAGCAACCGTGTTAATAAATTTGTACTACAATGGACTGAAATCACTGAATGGAGTAAGGACATGAATGATTACTTTATCCTAACCACTGACTGTAATAGAAAAATTCGACTGACGACATGTGTTAACTTGGCAAGTTCATAATTTTCAGCGACACTTTTTAGCAGCTGATCCCCAGCATTCTCGGAAGAAATTTATGGTCCGGAAAACTCGAGACTCGAGTTGCAACAAAAAAGCTTATGAGTGAGGAATTTTGATCTTAAACTCATAAATTTAGTTTTTTCCCTCATTAACAGATCTTTTTTAGACTATGAAGCACATAGGATCGGAACCATGTATCGGAGTACAGAAACGTGTGAAGGGATTGAAAATGTCAATAATTGCGAATAAAATTTTATTTCTTCTTGTTTTCCAAGAAAAGCTCATAATATAAGATATTCATGTTACCGAATAGTTCAATATAATAAAAGTTTAGACTTATCCCATGAGAGCTTCTCATTGTAAGTAACCGTAGAATAAGAAAAGAATGCGTTAATGTTAAACATTGGTTAGTCGGTAAGTTAAGTCTTTGAAACAAAGTTCTAATGCACAAATATAAATCATTTATGGTAAAGATATCAGAAGATAAATTTATCATTAGCATATCTCCAGAATCTTCACGCATACATAAATCATTCAGCTTGTAGTATATGGCTGCGTGATGGTAACTTGGTAATCCCGTAGAAGACAGATAACGTGAGACACAATGTGACAAAGCTCAAGCAAGCATTAGATCGAAATCAATATGGTTTAAAATATATTACGTTAGAACAATGATTGAAAACCAAAAACGGTGTCCTAATATCGAAATACATTGAAACGTGATTCTTCTTGGGAACTGAGTAGATGTGAACGAAAGTGTTTGCCACACAGTTCATTTTCCTTGGTGTATATATTAATGATAATCAAAACGCAAAATTATATTTACATACACAAAATAACCTTCATAATCAGATTGGCAAATAAAAAAAAGTTAGTTAGAAGCACCAACGAATTTTTTTCTGTAGGTGTGAGCTCCTACAGATGCTACCCTCATATATACCTACTGCATAAAAAGCAGAGAAACAAGCTTCCGCAATGCAAGTCAACGAACACACAAACTTTGCACTAAAGTTTGAAGGCATTTCACCTGTAGTCTTGTCTGAGAGTCAATGTTAAAATCAATTCCCTTCAAATGACATCCCTTACTTAATAATTAACTACACTAGAATATAGATTTTACAAAAAAAAAATCATCGCAATCAAGGGAAGATCTTGTTTTGCATTTTACCATAAACCTCTCCCTTCGTCTGTGGAAACTCATATCCAATAAATTGAATATTTAAGTAATGAACGCGAAACATTTGCGAAGTTACTCGCAGTTTACCAGCACGCATTCGTGATCATTTTCATATAATCAAACGGTAGTTTTGATTCATATAATCAAAAACGGTTTCATATAATCAAAACGGTAGGGGCATATTTCCCTTCAGTAAATTACACACCGAATATACTCTTCGCTTCATACGGATTAAGCCTTGTCTGCATCAGACTGATGTCCAGGTAGTGTAATGCCGCAGGCGCTTTTCTAGACACGGTAATGATCAGGTCTGGTGGCTTGAGGGTCCCAAGCCCGAATATTGGCCAGTGCGACGTTGAACTTGCGGCACCACTCTACTCGCTCCTCCGAGCTGTCCGCTGACAACAAAAGCCTGTGATTGAATCATGGATTAGCATTGGGAGTCACTGCAGGCGATTTGTGCGGCGCAAAATTGAAAGAAAGGCATATATATATATACCACATCCAAAACATTCAACTAAATCTAAGGCACTTACTTAGTTGCTAGAATATTCGATTTGATTCAAGATTTCATGAAAAATAACAATGCTGAGAAATATTTCATAAACAATGTGATGACAAGAGACGCTTCACAATCAGCTCGAAGAAGACGGATAGCATCTCACTTGGTTATGGTGGTGTTGGCAGCGATCTCAGTGACAAGAGAGTTGGTGTCGCCAGCCTCGGTGGGTCTAATGGTCGTCATAAGCATAGTGTGGGGCCGCGCACACACGTCTCGAGAGACCAGCTCCACACGGCGCGTGCTCACCAACTTCAGGGGTACGAACTGAACGCAATCCTGCGCGACATAACACAGAAAATAGCGAGCAAAACTAATGAATGTAGAAATTGCATGATGGTTGAGACACTTGTACTGCATATACAGCATATCTGATATTGAGTAATATACAAGATGATTTTATGTTAAAAAAATGTTCCAGCAGTTAGAAAAAGATGACAAACGTGCTAATTAAAAGTTGAATGATTGCTAATGGTTGCAAAAGGATGTTTCAAGTCGAATCTCTTTAGAGTTGCACTGACAATTTGGGCACTCGTCACGCCCTTCACTTGCTCTCACCACACCCTTCACTAGCACTCACCCCAAACATTTAAGTGTTGCAGAAATCATGTAAGCTTGGAGCAGCCACGTTAAATTAGAGAGCTGAATCCAAACGACAACTCACCTGCTTATTCTCCTGGTCTGGATAGCTCCAGAATTTGAGCGACGGGCCGTCCAGCACCGCCCAGCGCCGCGTCCAGGCGCCCAGTCCTCCTACGTCCTGGAAGACCGTCAGGAAGCCTCGGAACGAGATGCCTCCTTGCATGCTCACCTGCACCTTCATCAGCAGGTGCCCACTGAAAGGCGACACCGACGGAACCTTGGGACCAATTAGAAACGTTAGCAAATAGTTGCGAGAGAATCGATTCGAAATTTATTCGATGGAAGTTATAGATTTCCATTAGAGTCTGAAATATTTCTAAAAGTTCAATCAGGATCAGGAACCAATCATATAATGAAAAAAAAATGTAATTAATTAAAACTCGTACAATGAAGAGGTTGATCACAGGAGTGATCACTGCCAGAGGAGCTTACAGAACGTTATTCGATGGAAATAGCTGCAATCAGCGTAAATTAAAATAAATATTAATATTTAACAGCAGCCTTCCTTTCTCATTTATTATGTTGCAGCAAAAGAACAAGAAACATATGTAAGACAGAGGAAGTTCATACCTTCTCAAGAGCCCAAGCGCCCCTGTCTAGGGACGCTATGGTGAGGTTGGTGAAGCCCAGGAGATGGAAGGCGGAGGGGCGGGAGCTAGAGGACGAAGTGCCACTGCTGATGGGCGAGCCACGATCGTTGCGCTGATGCTGCTGCAGGCGCTTCAGAGGCGTCAACTTCAAGCGACTTTGATCCTTGAACAGAATATAATTTTAGTAAACAAATTGTTTATTATAAGAAGCAAACTGCTTTCAAATTAAGATTATAGGAAAATGGTGATCCCAGTGTTAGCAATTACATGAAGTTTGAGTAAACTTTTGAGTCAGAAAAATGTAGTTGGTACCCATACCACTTCTCAGGAGTACTTCAACAGATACACATTTATTTGGGTAGAGTTTCTCGAAACCGCGTTCCTGTAGGAATGAAAGAAAACTATCCTAAATCAATTGATGAAGGAGACTCTCACTTTTTTGAGGTTACTGTGCGGCGTAGTAACGGGAGAAGTCATCTTAAAGCCATAAACTTCGACAACAATGGCAAAGTCTGGCTTTAGGTTTTCTAGAGCGACGTTGTTGGGGAAACTGATGACGCCATTGATAACACAACTAGGCGTGCTCTGCACATCCGTGGCCAACACAACATCCCGTTGCTTCACCAGAACCAGCACATGGTGATTGCCTTCTGTAGATGGAAAGTGATATGATAGAACTGGTTATGGCCAAAGAGGTAAGGAGCTTTGATTTACATGTTCTGTTTGAGCTATTCAAGTCATGTTACAGACAGTAAGCAGATTGTAGTAAGTATCTCAATCATAGAGGGAACACATACAAAACTAGAAATTAGGTTATGATACACAAGCCAGGTTATAGACACCGAGCTGCTGTACAAGGCTCTCACCGTTGATGCCTCTTTTAAGGAAGTCTTGGTTAAGTGGCAGTGTAATGTTGGAGATGTGCACGCTGCCCTGCGTTGTGTCCGAGTCGTCGTCGCAGTTCATGGAAAGCATGGCGGCCTCGGTTTTGACGCGCTGAATAGAGAATCAACTTGAGGTTAACAACAAATGACATAACAACTTACGATGAAACTAGAGAAAGAAAAAGATTGAAATCGTTATGTTATTAAATGGTTAAAATATGTTGCAATGCTGTCAGTTTCATTTCCCTTTTCCCCAATAATCAGTTTGCAATACCTATAGAAAGCAAGAATACATTTTTAAAACTTATAAAAGGGCCGGCAAGTTAACTAGAGAAGGATTTCAATACTAGGCTTTGTGTGTAGATAGACCTGAGGTGTTGAAAAACGTAAAATAACTTTTTTTACGTTTAATCCCTGTTTTCCATACACTTCATAAATTAATGAATATTTTTTAACCTGTATCTCGGCCAGCAGTGCCATGCGGCGGTGCGTAGCCACCAGCAGGAGCTTCTCAGCCTCGACGTGATGAGTGTCACCGCGGAGCTCCAGCCTTTGCTCGGCCACACACGCCGCGACGCATGCTTGCTGCATGATGCGCAGCTCGTTGCTTTCCTGAAAACATAAGAGTAAAAGTAATACTCACCTCTCAGCACAATTTAGTGAAAAAAAATCGGATTTCTCAAGTTACGTTCAAGCGCAGCCTACTAAGGCGAGGCATAAGTAGGTGCATAATTTTGGTAGTTTATGATAGAACACAACAGTTTTTTTTTAGTCTAAAACTCTATTGAGCCAAACGTGCTCTAAATTACAACGTTCAAGTCAGAAAATTACTCCAGTTGGACAATTTGTTCCCTATTTTTTAAAGATTTTACTGGTACCTGTTCGTAGAGGACTCTTATTTTAGCAGAAGCAGCTACGGAAGGACTCTCAGGGGCAGGACTAGCAGGACTGCACACCTCCCTCTGTGCGGGCCGATGGATCACCTGGCGCACTGGAGTGCAAGACATCTCCTGTGCCAATACAACGCAGGTCAAGGAACACATGTTAGGAGCGGGGAATAAACAACACCGATGACTGCACAAGATAAGTAACAAGCCACAGACCACTATGTTTTACATACATTTTCACAATGAATCAAAAGACCTTAAATAAGAACGAGACTTTGTCGCAAATCCTACAGGCAATGGTGATATGAGGATTCATTGTATAACTCAGTAGCGACACATGTCGAATTCGTTAATGTTTGGCCGGTGGTTAATTTCAGATCATTTCTAATCACGATTTAAAAAACACCCGTAGAAAAAATCCACGAAAAAATTACAGCTGTTTGCATAGAGAGTAAAGCTTTTATAAATCAAAGAGGCAGGAACTAACAGCTTGTCGTTGCTTTCTGTACATGGAGACGGTGTGGACGAGGGGCGTCTGACTGCCCGAGTCTGGCTTGGAAGGCGAGGCGCTGATGCGCGGCGTCTTGTATTGGTTGTGGCCCTGCACCGCGTCGCCCTGTGGGCCAACAAAAAAATGTAAAGTCCAAGCCGGTTAATCAACAAGACGTTAGGCCGATAAAAGATTGATGAGAAAACGAAAATGGAGTAAACTTCAAAATCGATTCTTCAGAAAAAAAAATACAAAAGATGACCTACTTACAGCAAAGCTGCGTTGTATGTAACAAGGGAAGCAATGCTGAATCTAGGAAGAATATTGGTAGGACTATTAGTGAAAAAATAGCCAAAAATATGGGCAAAATACAAGGTTGACTTACATAAGACGAGAATTTTTAAGCAAAATAAGCGCATGATTAGTTCTATAGAAGAAATATTAAAGGATCTTGAGAAAATCTTGGTGCGGATAAGAGATAAATATAATGCGACGAGGAAATGGTAAATGTAGCATGTTATTTAGAAGAGACAAATGGAATGTGATAAGGTAATAATCATCAAGTCTGACCTGTTCTTCGCGGTGTCGCTTAGGAGGCGTGACGTGAGATGCACTGTCATCACTGAAAGCCTCGTCCAGAGCGGCGCTGGTGTCACTGCAAGCCTCGGTCTCGTCCTAGAGGCGGAAGAGCTTGCATTTAACAACCCTATTCTCATCCCTTAGGTTCTGGCTTCCCTCTGTTATTACTTGCAATACTTTATAACTTACTAGACCAGTTTCAATTCATTTTATTAACTGAATTTGTTTATATCATGTTATAACAGTAAATTATATCGGAATACCAACAAAGAAAAAACATTGGAAAATTATTTTGATAAATACAACGCTGACAGTTCTTGACCGTCATGCAATGAAGCTCACAAATAGAACAACAGTTCAAGTTTGAAAACATATTTTACCATTTCTTCAGCGTTCTCTGGAAGTGTCGTCATAATCCTTTGGTTGTCTCTGTTGCTCTGAGCAATTTTCTGTATTTTAGTGCCCAGGCTGTCGACTGAGATGCAAGTAGCGTCAACAGTGGCCTCACTGCTGCACGAGCTGGAGAAAACAAGACCAATGAGAACGCCTATGAAGTATTATTAGAACAAAATTCAGTTCACAATTTGGGCATACAGAAACAATTACCTTGACAAATTTGCTTTGTTGCTAGTTAACTCGGCAAGGCTGTTATAATCACGAATATAATGAAAGATATTCAATAAGGAAAGAGTCCCGTATGAGCTACGCTTGATGCCCACCTTTCATCAGGGAAATTCTCCTTATCAGAAAGGGACTCAAAATCAGAAAGTCCAGGGTAGAGACAGCCAGGCTTGACGCACAGCTCGAAGCTCTTCTCGTTGTGGGATTGCCAGTCTGCAGATAATGTTTTGAAGATAAAAGATACGATCGGCAATATGGCAGGATGCAAGATACGGTCAGCAATATGGGAGGATACATGATACGGTCAGCAATATGGGAGGCAGCAAGGGGGAGGGGGCATGCAGTCATCAGTGTAGGGGGGAAGTTCCTCAGCATAAGTTCGTGGAGGCTTTGGAGGTCCTGGAGAGAGAGGCTCCGTGCTGGCACAGTAGGAATCTTCACTCTCTGGATACTCGGAGTCTGAGTGTTCATGGTCCTCTGGTGGAATAACGCGGAAAATAATTACATATTATAATCGGTAAAACGGTGGCAGAATTAAGTAGTAAGAAATGAGTGGAATGTGCAGCTCCCTGGCACACTAAAAAGAACTCACACATGGATATGATGCATTAACTATCTATTAAAAAAATAATATTACACATATTTTTGACCTATTCAAGTCAAGCTACCAAATGTTTATTCATCGTAACTAAAATGCTTCGTCCTGGTGAGCCCCACCAATTTGAGGAGTGTCTGCCTTGGAGAATCTGTTGCGCAGCGCCTCCATCTCCCTGCGCTTCTGCTGCTGCCAGGCGTCATCGCTTGTGACAGCAGTCTCAACTGCAGTAGACGCCCTCACCTCCAGAGCGTCGCGGTACCTCGATACTGTAATGCAAATTCTTAAATAACTTCACGTAAAAAGAGAAATATAAATTTGCGTTTCCTCCAAACATAATTGAGTCACATTGAAACCATTAGTAATAACTTGATTTCATATGCATTTCCAAATAGGATGAAAGAGTTTACTGCAGTGTCACAGTAACGAAGGTTCAACCCTTTGTTCTCACAATCAAATGTTATCATTGTCCAATAATGTCTAGTTTACCCAGGCCCTCACTGGAGTGAACACAGATGAACCCACAATATTGAATCCTCCCATTAACTAGAGTCTAATTAAATCGAATTCCCGGTGCTTGCTGATTATTTTTCAAGGGATTTATTTAAGTCAAGTAAAGTTTATTCAATTTCTTCTACTTGATATGCTTCTGCTCCACCCACACACTCTATCCCAAGTTTGCAGCCTTTAGTTTGAAATCAATTTGAACCATTTGTTCAGGGTTCTCTTTATTGCAACTAAATATTCCATAATAACCCGCCAGTTCATTATCAGTAAAAACGTGTTTAATTCAAGTTGAATTTTGTTAAAAAGTTAATAGCAACTTTTTAAAGAAGATCCAATGAAGAAATATCCAGTTAATGTTGAGAAAATACCCGTGACCTCGAGAAAACAGTTGGGGAAAATAGCTTATCAGACAAACAAACAATATCACGGGAGTTGAAAATTACATGAAAAATAATATACGTTTAAAAATTACTTTTTAAAGATAACACTTCCAAAGAATCCAGCATCTCCAATCTTACAGATGTACAATGAATTTCTCATCTAATTTTTGAAAATTAAAAAAAATTACTTTTCAATTTTTTTAATATAAATTTTTTTAATATATACATATTTTTCAAAATTATTTATTCTGTTAAATAATTCATGCATTGCCTCTGATTTCACACAAGTGTGCAAAATTTCAGATCAATTAGACAGGTAAAAGTGTGTCAAATATCAGTTATAAGCTTTGTAACTGACAAAATTATTTTTTCAATTTTTTTAATATTGAAAAAAAAAATTTTTTAATTTTAAAAATCATTTATTTTGACATTTGATTAATGCATTGTCTCCAACTTTACACAAATGTGCAAAATTTCAGATCGATAGGATAAGTAGAAGTGCATTAAATTTCGATTACAAGATTTGTAGCAGACAGACAGACAGACAAACAGACAAACAAGAAGTGAAGTTAAAGAGAAGTGTTGAAATTAACAAGAATTACAATAACATTCAACTATGAATTAAATGATTATAAAGGCCAATGAAACATGACTTGCCAGTGCTGCCTCCAGAGGGAGCGGCGTGTCGTGCAGAGCTGGGCATCGCAGGCACAGAGTGGTGGACGCTGGCTGGTGCTTTCTTGTATGCTGGAGCTGGGCCGCAACTCTGCAGCATCTGATGGACATTCAATTGTCAATACACAAGTTTCATGTGCACAAAACCTTAGGTGCACACCATTAAAGAAGCTGATCTTCACAATGGTTCAATTTGACAATAAACTAGTTTTAACCAAGAATTAAAGGCATCACGATGATAAGGTTGACCTGGATTGAAAACAACCGCGGACACTTGAGAAATGTGAATGAAATTCGTATGCCAGTCTACAGTAGGAAAGAGTTTTGTTTATGTTAAACTAAAAACGAGTTACCGGTAAATCATCTAAACTTGGGGGTAATGTGACAATAGGTCGAACCTTAGCAGGAACAGGCTGTCCAAATGGGGCTTTAGGCAGCAGCGCGTCCTCGCCACGCTTCTCGAATATCTGACGCCGGCCTTGCACGGACAGCTCTGCAGGGTCCTTCTTGGCCACGGCCTCAGCCGGGGCTGCACCATCAGCAGAGAGGGGATCGTGATGTCATTGTCATCATTTGATGGCGAGATATGATTACATGATCATATGATATGTTGTGGTGAAATAATGTGTAATCCATGAAAGTGTAGTAAAAAGTAAAATTAGACGATAAAAACGTTCAGCAAGCACCTAGAGTTCAAGAAGAAATGCTAACTGTAGCTGTTGTAACAGGATGTTTGCCAAAATAAGTGTGAAGGCTTGCACAGATCCCGTTAACAACCTTCATGCCAAATGGCCATTAAAAACTGTGATAATTATTTAGCAAACATTATGCGGAAAGTCATTTAAGTATCACTGATGATCAAAACCTATAAATTTCTCCACATCTGAACAATAAACGTAATCTTCTGTACAATAACAGCTCAAGCCTTGCGTGCAGTTGCACTAGATCATGTGGTAAGGTTTGACTCGCTTGATAGGCCCTATGTTTCAAATAACTTATGAAGAATGTCAATTAAATCATCGATACAAATGCATACCAGATAATTTAATTTTAGAAATCAAACGTTAGTAACGATAGAACTCTTGAAACTTCGTCACAAGTCAGGCTACTGTGCCGGCACGGTTATTATACAACAGTGAGGCCAATTTAAAGCCTATACAAATTCCGAAGCGAGGTGTCCATTAGAGTTTAGAGCAAGGGAGGATTGAAGGCTACGCCGACAGGATACGAGCGACTTTGTGGTTCGCTATCACTCACGTCTAACCTCGCATCTTCCTTCAGCTACTAGCGGGAGGTGGACAAGCTGACGGAAGTCCGACGTATATTTCTACTGTGTACACTGTAGAACTAAAATAAAAATACCATCATGATTGAAGAAAAAGCTGGAAACTATATTGATATCTACATTATCTAGTAAACAACTTGCATCGTTTACACTTAGTGTGTGGGTATGCAAAGCTTACCGCCCATGGCGACAGCGAAGGCAGCAGCTCGTTCCTTAACAGAAGACTGATGAGGAGCATCCAACAGAGGCACGGTTTCAGGCATAGGACAAACTCCCTTCACAATCCTGTAAGCCATCAACAAATTATCTTTAGGACAACGCAAAAATCATGTAATGAAAAAGTCAATAAGATCACTAATATGCACACCAAATTTCGTTGCAATAAAAAATGCACAGATTACAATTCAATTCTTACTCGCGGCCGCCAGCGCCAGAAGAAACAGGTTGTTTTGTGGGGCTCCTGCCACGACCAGCTGCACCAGACGCCACCGCGCTGGCTGGAGGAGCGGCAGCAACACTCGCATTCTTGACAGGACTCACAGATCGGCCTCTGGCAGCAGTCTGGGGCTGAAACTGTCTCCCGGAGCTAGGGATACCATTCGGTCCAAAGACTTGTGCCTTCTGCGGACTTGTGGCCGTAGAGGACGCGGTCACGGCCTTTTTAGGACTGCAGGATCGCGCCCTGACGTGCTGTCGGTCAGGCGAGCTCTCACGGATCTGCTCTTCCCAACGACTGCAGAGCCGCTCTACCAACTTGGGGCTCGTCGCTCTCTAGTATACGAGACATTCGTTATTAGCGCTACAAAGTTTTGACGGACACTCACTTGATTACAATCTCAAATATTCATGAACAAATTATCTATGTCAATATCATTACACATAAAAATAAACAAGGCAGCACTCGAAGTTGTCGCAGTTCAATGAGCAATCACCATTTGGTTGGAACGAGTGCTTGCTTCAGCAACGTCAGAGTTTGGCGTTGTTTTCAGCACACAAGATAAGATCTTGGGCGCGGAGCTGAGACCTGACAGACCAAGCGATGGGTCCTGAACAGAACTGCAAGGGGCGCTGTGATCGCCAGCAGAGACGGGACGGCATGCGCGTCCTGTAGAGGGAGGCGCGGGGGGCGCTGCGCCGGGCTCCTGTTCACGCTTGTCATATTCTTTCTTGAACTCGTACACAAGGCGCGATTTGGACTCAGGAGTGTAGCCTTGTGCCTCCTAGCAAACAAAAATAACATGTTTTATAAAAACAGATCTGCCAATTGAATTTTGAAACGCAGGACTCGTAGCTGGAATAGAATAAACTGCGGCCAGGCGCTCCTGAGAAATGCTTCATTGCAAAAAAAAAAATCTGGAACGCAAATGCACCATCGCTCGTACGTGATCCAGCACTGGAAACAACAGCATACAGCCAGGTACCTGTACATCGTACAGCCCGGCTCTGTACAGCCAGGTCCCTGTACAGAGTACAGCCAGGTCCCTGTACAAAGACCACGTGACGGGTCCTGAACAGAACTGCATGAGGCGCTCTGATCGCCAGCAGATACGGGACGGCACGCGCGGCCTGTGGAGGGAGGCGCTGCGCCGGGCTCCTGCTCACGCTTGTCATATTCTTTCTTGAACTCGTACACAAGGCGCGATTTGGACTCGGGAGTGTAGCCTTGGGCCTCCTAGCAAACAAAAATAACACGTCTTTGTAAAACAGATCAAATCAATTGAATTATTGAAACGCAGGACTCACAGTTGGAATTGAATAAACGGCTACCATGCGCTCCAGAGGCTTCATTGTAAAAAAATTATGGAACGCAAATGCACCATCGCTCGGACGTGATCCAGCACTGGAAACAATAGCATACAGCCAGCTACCTGTACATCGTACAGCCCGGCTCTGTACAGCCAGGTCCCTGTACAGAGTACAGCCAGGTCCCTGTACAGTGTACAGCCAGGTAACTGTACATAATACAGCCAGGTCCCTGTACCTTATCCTGCTCGGTGCCGACATCGAGCTAATCCCGGGCCCCATCACCTAGTGCCCCACCTGCACCACACGTATAACATCTTCTCGCGTGGGTGGGGGATCTGTCCCATGCAACAATTGCAAACGCTGGTTTCACCTCAAGTGTCATTAGCTTCTAGCCCTTCAGCACTATACCAGCAACTGGAACAGCTCGTTGTGCCTGCCATTTGCCAACATATCCGCGCTGCAAATCCACCCGCGTACACCGGTCCCCCACTCGCCGGTGCGGCTCCCGGCTCATCCGCTACCTGGCTTCTCTCACCGCCTCACCCAGTCGCTCGACCTCAAGCCAGCACACAGCCAATCCGCCATCAAATCCTCAACGTCCTACAACTCAACATTGATGTAAAACGCACCAAGAACGTCGAATTTATGATGAGTTCGGGAATTCCTAGTCCCCGGTCACGCTGATGCGCCGCCTACTCAAACAATACATGACTCCAACAAAATTCACGTCGCCTTTAAACAAGAGACAAAGATCAGGCACAAGACAGCATCCATCCCAAACTACACTGCCATTAGACAAGATAACCATACCAACATACACGGAGAAGGTGGTGGATTGATTACATTCAACAACAATAATATAGCCTAACTGAAGAAAACATAGAACATCACAATCCCAACACAAGTAGACAGGCAAACAGAACTACAAGCATTTCACATCCAGACAGGATACAAAAAAAAAACATTATCCTCATCAACATATACATTCCTCCAGAACACTCACAGTCACACTAAACAACACCATCATACCACACACACATGAAACCAAGATTCTGGGTGTCACTTACAACACTTCCATGTCTTTCGGGCCACACATACCGTACAGAACGTAAAAACAAAATGCAGACCGAGGCTAAACACACTCAGAGCCCTCACAGGAACAACATTCGGACAGAACAAAGAAACCCTCGCACTAGTGTACAAACAATACATACGCTCAGTGCTGGACTATGCAAGTCTAGCCAGGTGAACCCATGATTTCACCCACACTTCACAAACACCTACAAATCATACAAAACACAGCCCTCAGAATCGCACTTGGCAGCACGCAAACCACACCATCCAGCCACGTCCATGCAGAAACCATTGAACACTTTCAAATAGTGTTGTTGGTTGTTCAATAGTGGCGATTGAACTCTATTGAACACTATCATAAACCACTGATAATTAAGTCAGCGCACATGTAACCGATGTAGCAGTGAGTTGTCCGTTCGAGACCAACCATGTCTCCTCCGTCTTCCGATGGCATCACGGGTTTTCCGTGTGAAAAAAAAAATAAAATTGTTGACTCCTGTGAAGTGTGATTCAACTTTATTTTCAACTGAATCCTTCTTCTGAAAGAACAGCTAGACATGAAAGGAAACCAATTTCTTGCGTCAGAACTCCACAACCCCCTCAGCCCCTGCTACCACATTCAGCATCTACCTCCAACCTAGACAAATAGCTATCACTCCATGTTTATCTACTATCTCACATTAAACATGTTTGGTTAAAAATAATGCCAGTTTTATTAAGGACTTCTTTTGAGTTTAATCTCTCAAGCTTTCTGATAAGCGGTACAATAATAGGGTCAATGTGTCTTAAAATTTGTCCAAATGAAAGGTTAGATAAATCCTGCGATGCGTTTCGCTCATCACTGAGCATCTTCAGGCAACGAACACATTATCCCACATTACTCAACTTACCCAGCTCGATACAAATTGCCAACACTCCATACAACTACTATCTCACAATAATTAATTCCATATCTCCGCCCACAGACCCAACCAACTTCATCAAATGCATACACACACACACCTAACCTGGAACACACTCTCGAATCCACACTCAACAATATCACAGATGACGTACGGCCAGACATCAGCAATACAGAAAAGCACTTAAACCGTGCAGACAGGGTGTATCTCAGCAGATTCCGCTGTAGTCAACATCCCTCGCTAAACGCTTACAAACACCGCCTGGACAGCACTCAAACGGACCTGTGCCCCCAATGTCACGCACTCCCCCACACCGTCAAGCATCTTCTGCTGGAGTGCCCGGAGCTGGCAGCACCCAGGCTCCGGGCAGGCATAACATCCGTCGCACAGTTTTGGTCCGAGCCGGCTCAAATGGCGGCTTTCATGGTGTGAGCAGGACTCGGGGAACATCAATTAACAACAACAGTGTAAACTTCAATTGGGGGTGACGCATTGATCAAATTATAGAAAGAAAGAAATACATTGCTTATTTCACTGAAATATTACCTATTTCTCCAGCAACAAAACCATCCTGTTTAACTGGTCAAAGAGAAGGTGGTGGATTGATTACATTCAACAACAATAATATAGCCTAATTGAAGAAAATGTAGAACATCACAATCCCAACACAAGTAGACAGGCAAGCAGAACTTCAAGCATTTCACATCCAGACAGGATACAAAAAACACATTATCCTCATCAACATATACATTCCTCCAGAACACTCACAGTCACACTAAACATGCAACACCATCATACCACACACACATGAAACCAAGATTCTGGGCGTCACTTACAACACTTCCATGTCTTTCGGGCCACACATACAGAACATAAAAACCTGTGCCCCCAATGTCATGCACTCCCCCACACCGTCAAGCATCTTCTGCTGGAGTGCCCGGAGCTGGCAGCACCCAGGCTCCGGGCAGGCATAACATCCGCCGCTCAGCTTTGGTCCAAGCTGGCTCAAATGGCGGCTTTCATGGTGTGAGCAGGACTCGGGGAACATCAATTAACAACAACAGTGTAAACTTCAATTGGGGTGACGCATTGATCAAATTATGGAAAGAAATAAATACATTGCTTATTTCACTAAAATATCACCTATTTCTCCAGCAACAAAACCATCCCGTTTAACTGGTCAAGTTTGGTGACCTACCAAAGGTCCGAAATAGGAAAGTGTAATCACAATGTTAGCTGCTAATTCACAAGGCAGAGAAGTCAATCACAAGAGCTAAATTAGAGCATCTGGAAGTTCATCCAACAGACCAGCACATGACGCAGACAGCAGCACTACTATTCATCATCTGACTGATTGTGACTTAGCTTGATAAATTGGAAGAACCAAAGAATACACAGCTTTGTACAATCTCTTGTTGGATTAAGACAGTTTAGACAGCCAATTATTAAATGAAGAACGTTCACAAGCAAAAATCTCATTCTAAAATAAAAAAAAAATTTCAAACGTAGCATGAGGCCTCATTTAACGCATACAAGCACTCGTGCTTCCTTGCAGTTCCTTTGTATTCTGCCTATTACATTCATAAATACTTGCAAATTTCTTTTTATTTTCAACTACAAGCTTCCAAGATCTTAGATTAACTACAAAAAAAAAAAAATTCTACAGGCTGATACAAGCTGGAGTGAAAGCTACAACAACAACTATCACTGCGGATAAATCTATGAGCAAACAACGCACAATATGTATACAGGCCAGACATCTGCATATTACAAGCGTTATGGTGAGAAGAGAAAGGTGACTATAGAGGTAAGGATCAAAATTATGACTTCTCAACCATTGACAATTCTAGAGCAAACTTGCACATTCACTGGAACACTACGAACATAAATTAGAAAACATAAGGGCGACCTCTAATCTATATGCATGATCTTTATGTCATGCACCGTGGCTCGTAGCCACAATAACTGCATCCGGTGCGGGAATATTACTTGCACCCGTTCCTGGTGGTGGAATAACGAGGTGCTCAAAAACTGAGAGAAGGAGTGTTTGTGTGCAGAAGCAGAATATATTGTAAAAAGTAAAGATGGTTTAAATTGGATATTCATTTTTGAATTGGTATGTGTAATTTAAAGTTTAAAAATTATTACGGGATTCGAGATGGCGGAATTGGGGATTTAGGGGTTCGGGATGGCAGGGTTCGGGATGGCGGGGTTCAGGATGGCAGGGTTCGGGATGGCGGGGTTCGGAGTAACGGTATCCTCAAATTCGTGGAAATTTGGACAATGTTAGAAGAAATTTTGGACTAAATTTGAAGAACCCAAATTCAGAAAACTCAAATTCGATATAAGGGAATAATTAACATCTTAGGGATTGTCTATCAACGTTCAAAAGTTAGTATTCAATATGATACAAACTAAATACAAGTCAGCACGCATATGAATATATAGATCCGAACCTCATAAGATCAGAACTGCATGCTTCTATGTCATTATTAAGCATAAACAGACGGAACAAAATAAAGAAAATTACACGTAATCCATCGCTGTAGGCGAGTTCCTTTGCCCTCAGTTCTTTCGCATCACACTTCGCGTGCTCGAGATTCGAGAAAATTAGGTCCAATGAATTACGTTCACATTTCGAATTCTTGTGACTGAGATTGGCAATCATTTCATTGCTGTGGCCGCTCTTATAGAAATTTATTGAGTTATGTCGAACTCGTGTGCAATTCCGACCCAATGTCATGGCTACCATGCATTCTTCTTGCTTGAAGGCCATGAATGATGGGTTCAAAATGTCCAAATAATGTGTGAATATTCTAAAATATAATATTATATACAAAATATAATATTTCACGGAAATCCTTACTTCTCGCAGAATCTTGGAACTGGTCCCACAAAAAATGTAGAGCAATCATTGTATTGGTCATCATAAAAGCCAGTACTTGGCAACAACGCAATCCAGACTATAACTAAGAAATCACGGCTCAATAACGATTAAGGTAAAGTTTAGATGAACTTACAAGCGAGTCGATGAGTTTGCGATCCCAGAACATTTTAGAGGCTGGAGACATGTCCCTGTTAGGCCTGACAGGCCCAGAAGTAGGCAGCACTTTAGTGCTAGCAGCCAATGCCTGGTCCAGGTCAGTGCTCGCCAGTCTGGGCTTGTGGAGCGCCAACTCAATAGCTTGTTCCTTCTCAGGAGATAACACAGGCGCTTCTCCATAATGATAAGTGGGAGTGCCGGGGCTAGTTTTCTCTGCAGTGTTGCTTTGGGCAGAACTAGTCTTGCTAGTGTCAGCATGCATAGACCGGCCTTCAGATGGCAAGGACTCGCAGCAAGGAGTAGGTTCAACTACACAAGAAGAAGCAGTATAACTACTAGCTGATCTGCTGAACTCTACAGAGGAATTAGTAGCAGCAGGAGCGGCAGCAGAAGTGCAATTGGTTGGTCCATGCAAAGAAGGGTTAGTACTAGGAGATTTACTTGATACCTTAGAGCCCGAGCCAGAAGAGTGATAAGCATAGTCATCCTCCCATGCCTGCATCTCTCGTTGTCTGCGGGCAAGAGCCTTGAAACCTCTGCCAGATGCCGAGGGCGGAGATGCAGCAGAGGTTTGGACAGGCTGTGGCTGCAGGCATGAGCCTGACATGGGACGTTGACCAGATGAAGGAGCGTCAGTTTTGTTAGGGGACTTGGCAATGGAAGGATAGTTGCAGGATTTGGAAGGGGAGGCATTCAGCGATGATTTGATGGGACTGGAAGGCATTGGTGGAGCAGGTGGAGGAGGATTTAGTCTCTGGTTCTGATCTTGCTGTGCAGTTGTTGACCTCTCATTCAAAGGAACAGTTGTGTCTTCACTTTTGTTTCCTGTGATAATAAGAGTAGAATAATGACAGAACCATTCAATTTTTCAAATCGTGCATAAATTCTGTAACTTTTGTTTATGAATTTATTTGACATCAGTGAACAAAGTAAATGAATTAAAAAAATGTTAAATGTCACTTAAATCTTCCAGCCTCATTTTCATCCACCAAAGAATTACACGAATAAATGTATGCTATGTTGCAACCGCGCTTAGTTTTCTGCATTCAGGGTAGCTGACACCCATTCTAAGATCAAACTATATTAAAGCTATTCAATTGTCAAATTAGAGAAACACTGTGCAAATATATCTTTTGTATATACACTATATATAAGAACTATGTTGAACAAAAAACACAAAAGAGAATAAAAAATATCTCACTCTAAGACTAAGCCTCTATTCAACAATTTGTACGAGAGCAGTAGTGTAATATGAGAAGATTTTGCCCAATCAGCTTGTCACATTACCTAGTTGCTAAGAGCAACAAACAGCCTGATGCTTGCCACAGAATCAATTCAAATTCAGGATACCCAATGATATGAACAATTTATAGCTAATGATCAAGATAATTATAATCAATTATACAAAAATCAAGATAATTATATTTATCTTATATTTATAAAAAATATATTTATTTAAATATATTATTATAGGTATATTTATTTACCATTAATATTTTAATGATTTATTATACATGAACCCATATTGAAAAACTGGGAACCATTTTCATGCAATAAAAATCTTAATTCTGTTCCATATACAAGCTTGTTCTTGTAAATTCTTAAATTTAATGAATTAGAAAACTCCTATCAAATATATGTAATGTTTTTTAAACTTTTTAAAGGGTTTTAAGATGAACAAGGTGAACATCACTCACCTTTGTGCTTGCAGTCTGAGCTAAGAGCCAGTCCAACATGAGGTTTTGGGATATTCTCTTTATCTAAACTCTTCTTCTTGCCAGTGCCGTCTTCAGCAAGCTTGGCTGCCAGCATAGCTCGCCGTGCTTCACTGCGAGCAAGCATCCTCTAAAAGAAAATTTTCAAAAATTAATAAAGATTTAGAATTAAGCTCAGAATTTGCAGCTAAATCAAACATTACTTAATCTATCAATATGTATATAATCTAATATTGAAATTTTTTGAACATTATTACAAAATTTGCAGCAAACAAATTTTTTGTTGCATGTCCACATTCCAGCATGAAAATAACACTAATAATACTCCAGGTTATCACAATGCCAAAAACTGGTGTCACCAGAACACATACAAACTCTGCTTTTTCTTTGAATCATGATTACTTTATTAAATTTACAAGAAATTCCATCTTATACATAGCTTTTCAACTTTCTAAGAACACATGTTCTTTTAAATTATCAGATAGCAAAATAAAGTGACAAGTCAATGATGCCTGACACTACACAGTACACATAAATACCCCACCTAAACAATTCCATGAACTGCTTTTGAATTATAATTAGAACAAATTTCTGATGCCGCCCTCAAGTGTCACTTAGAACCAAGGTATAAATAAAATTTATATGGAAGAGTAATACTTCCAATAAGAACATCTTGGGTTTATTTTTAATTATCCTGCATTTTAGGTCAATTTTAGAGATGCAAGTCAGAATTTCATTCTTTTCACCATTGCCTTTACAAGAGCTGGAGGGAATTTTAACTGAGAAATGTGTTAAAATAAAAATTCCTTTCTAAACAATTCACTGTTATACATAGTGGCAAACCAGAGATTTTTTAGAATCAGTTCATTTTTAATTTTATTTTCTACTCAATATTTTAATCAATTTCTTATGTATGAAAATGCTGGTATCCAAGATACTTTTCCGGTCTACTTATAGGACTCATAAATGAACTTGCAAAATGAACTCATAAATGAACATAAAGAGTCTAAAAAAACTGCTGCTTTGCCACTACTGTCTCTCTTTGGATCTCATTTTCCCGCCAGACTGCCCAAACCTAGTGTTTTGGCAATAGTTTGGCACGCAAAGGTATGACGTCACTATTTCAACCATCAACGAATGCGTGGAACTAAGATAAAGCTTAATATAAAGGAAAAACTGGAGAGATGTTGGAATTACCCACGACATAGTGACAAAGCAGAGAGTTTTTTAGACTCTCCCTCAACTATTCACAACTTTTAGAATCAATACCTAACTTGGAGAATTAAGGCTGTAATTGCCACAAAAGATGGACCTAGACCATACAAAAACATATTTTGTGAATTTCTTGGGAATTTTTGTATTTTATTGAACCTAAGGCTCAGTCTAGCTGTCTAGGGCCTAGGCACTGTAGGCAGTATATAAATATATAACTAATATATATATATACTACTAATACTAGCTACTCAAAAATAAAATTTCTAAATAATTAGGTACAAAATCATAAAAATAGAAAGATGCTCAAAAATTGAATAATGGAGTAAATGGACAAACTAAAAACAATAAAAATTATTATTTTTTTTAGGTCTTGTGTAAGTTTTATGTCTGTCTTTGAATTTTGGGTATTATTGCAGATTAACTACATCCAAAAAAAAGGGTGTTTTTTTTTTTTTTAATT